TATATATATATATACATGTATACATACATACATATATATATACATATACACTTACATAATTAAAATTGTTGTCACAAATATTAATGAACTTACGAGATTTCGGCATAATCCTGCACGGAAATCATGAAACACGCGATTGCGGTGCGCCTGCGCCATTTTCGCGTGTATGTAATAACAGCAATATCCAAGATCCGTTATTTTCTTAGCCAATAATTCTACGCGTTGCGTTGAATTGCAGAAGATTATGCTTTGCGTTATTTGCAACTACAAATATAATGCATAAGTTTACATATATTTAATATATTGACATGGGATTAAATTAAACCAAACGTTTAATGATATCTTACCTTTGAGAATAACGTGTTAAGGCAGTGAACTTTTTGTCGTTCCTGTACAAAAGCGTAATATTGTGTTACGCCTTTTAAAGTCAACTCTTCCATTAAATTAATCTCATATGGATCTCTCAAGTGTTTCTCCATAAATTGTTTTACAGTCAGAGGAAATGTAGCTGAATACAATAAAATCTGACGTTCATGTGGCAATCTAGAAGCAAAATATACCACCATAAATATTGTAAAATCATGAATATCAAAGAGCATCAATGCATGTGTAAACAATTTGAATTATTATTTTTAATAGTTGATAGTGATATAATTGTTGTAATATTATTAATAATCAACTTGCAATATTGGTAAAAGAACTATCAGTAAAAAGTGTGGCATCAACACGTCTTAAGAGAATGACGATTAAAAAAAATAGCACGAATTCAATAAATTTCAAGCAGAAATCAATAAAAGTTAGTTATTGATAAATCAGTTTAATGTACTTGGAAATATGACGAGACATATCCATTCAAGAGCACACATTGTACATTTTAAACAATTATACAAAATACAACATTACATATAAATCATGAATAGTCAATGTTAGTATCATTTAAAAAACTTGAATTTAAAGTGTAACCAGGATGTGATAAAAATAGAAAAAATCTATGTACATTTAAATATTTATCTTGTATCTTATGTAATATATTTTACAAACATACCTCGATATAACATGATCCAACATTCCTTTGAAGTCTTGTGACAGCAGTTTGTCTGCTTCATCTAAAACTAAAATTTTACATTGCTCCATGTTTGCCACATTCTTATCCATTAGATCAAGAATCCTTCCTGGCGTTGCAATTATTACTTGTACTGAAAACACAAATTACGAATTAGTTATATATGCGCAAACTCATTTAATTCACTTGTAAATTTAAAATTTTTATCTTACCTTTTTGATAAATCCTCATAATGTCGTCGCGTAAATTAGTTCCTCCAGTGGTGACCATAACCTTTATATCCATATGTTTTGCAAGTTCGATACAAATCTGTGATGTTTGTAGTGCTAATTCTCTTGTAGGTACAATCACCAATGCTTGAATTACTTCTCTTCTCGGATCAACCTAAAACAGCAAATAGTATATGATATTAAGAAAAATGTGACATCTAAATCAAATATTTTTTTTTTTTTTTAGATTAGTAGTACATATATATACCTGTTCCAGCACTGGAATCGAGTATGCTCCAGTTTTGCCAGTTCCATTTTTCGCTCGTGCCAAGATGTCCTTACCAGAAAGTGCAATGGGAATACTAGCTTCTTGGATCGGTGATGGTTTCTCCCATCCCTTCTCAAAAATTCCCATCAATAACTCACGTTTTAGGCAAAATTCTTCAAATTCGTTACCACGTGTGTCAGTAACATCCTGCAAGATTCATGTTTAAAAATAAATTATATTAAGACAGAAAATTTAAATGTTTTCATGAATTTTATAAACAATAACAAAATCAGTTTTTAAAAGTTAATTTATCTATTTTAAATCTCAACTTATTTAAATTTGAAAATATAAATAATTTATCAATTATTTTTATCTCTCATAAAACTTACACTTGTTTTAATTCTCTTATCCTTTGGTGGAATTTTTAATTTGGCTTTCCAACCTACATCATCCATTTTATCTATTTCCGATTTGTTAGACAAACCAGAATTCAACATGTGATTAGAGTTTATATGCGTTTCAATCATCATTCTGGAAATATTGCAGTATTTTTTCCTGAAAAAAAAGGAAAAATACAAAAAATAGAAAAAAAGATATCACTATTTATTGTTTTATATACATCAGCTAGTATTATGTCATAATATATTTTCAAATGTATATTTTTTAAAATCCACTTAAAATTTTGTGCCACTCTGTTATAATTTGTAAAATATGAGTAATTAGATCATAATATATAACTCTGAAGTTCTAAGCACATTCAAAAGCATTTACTAAGTTTTTATGTTAACATCTGAATAGAGAGCCTCCCAGAAGGAGAACAAGACCAAACAAAATTGACCTACAATGACTGTATGCCTATAGGTAGTGTTCGCCGTTATAAATACATTCGAATGTGTTAAGTGTTTTTGCATGTTTGGATGTATAAGGGAGGCATGAATACTTTTGTAGATAAGACCGTTAACTGTGTTACAAAAAAAAATTTGATTTCTTTATCCTTTTTATATAGTTTCCAATAGATATATAAAATTTATATAATTAAATCTAAGAATTAACATCTTTTTAAGATATAATTTGATAAATCATTAATCCAAGAAAAATAAAAAATCAAATAAATTCGTTTTATTTAAAATTACATTAAAAAAGAAAAAAGGGATTTCGTTAGTATTAAGAATAACAGACATTTTTTTTTTTTTAATATATAGGACATTAACAAATATACAATAAAAACAAAGGAATATTCGTATTTTCCAAGCTCGTCGCTCATTATATGTATATCAAAATGATGAAATATTCAATCTGTCTCAAATTTTTTAACAATTATATAAACAGCGCGAAACAACAAAGGAAAATACCAGTACATATTTAACCAATCGCAAGTATCCATGATTAACGATAGCTGATACGCCGTATAGGCAAACAAGTTTCGCCAATTTCAAACCCATAACGTTCGAATCGTCGATAAAAGCAGACTCGTACAATATGCGTTATATCAAGTGCTATATAACGAATTTATTTTTCCAAAAAATTTCAATGCACGAACATATATATATATATATATATAGCTAAAGCCATTTTCTCTCGGGTAAATCCGAGGAAATATCTTCCTCCGTTTCGAATTGATTCGCGAACCGTTGGTAGCGACAGAAACAAGATGATACCGTTAGGCCTCGAAACTAGCCAGATTTTCCGCGGCGATTCTCGTCGGAGACGCGCGCCGCGCGTCGCGACGCGACGAAACGACGACGAGGGGTGCGAGGATCGCGGGCACGCACATCGTCCGGGATGTGCAACGTCGACGTGTTCCTTACCTCGAAAACGGATGGACGTCGATGTCGATACCGTGTGTGTGCGCCTCGAGCACGTCTCGGATCGGTGGGAGACAACACGCCAAAATGGCCGTTCCCAATGTCAATGATTTCGTCGACTTCTCGCAGCGCCAGTGACTGCGTCTGGGCACCGTAGCCGTTTCGGTGCTGATGCCGCCGCGCTTTTCTTCTCTAGCACTCTGTTAAACTCGTCGTTTGCGCTACGGGAAAAAAGAGTTCTCTCGCGTGTGACGCGCGTGGGGTCGACTTTCAAAGTCTCTCTCTTCCGTCTCCTACGTCTCGTGATTTGCGTTCCGTTTGCAGTAACTCGAAATTCCGACTAACGCTGACTAATGCACTGCGTCGAATGCCAGCGATTATTGCTTGTTCGGTATACACGATCCGTACCGTGAAAGAGCGAAAGATACCTAGATGCGAAACTACCATGGTTGGTCGTTTTAAGGCATGCTTTTCATACCTTAAAACGATTCGCGGACAATTTTGCGGGGAAAACACTAGCGTTTCTCCAACCAGCCAATCACGTGTCTCGCGTGGTTCCCAGTCGCATCTCGTGAATCACATATTTCATGGATCAAATAATCCAAATTAGATATCGAATATTTTATAGAAATCGAAATGAGTATACAATTTCAATGAGATCAATGCTGTTTAATTAATGCGTGTTCAAAGATTTTACGCGTGAAATTAAATAAAAAAATTAATAAATATAAATTATAAACTTTTTGTTAAATTTAAACTTTGAATTATATATATTCGATATATTGCAGAGTCATCGGACAAATGTTAGAATCCAAAAATATAAAAATATAAAGGGTAGTTGGCATAAAGTTTTCGTATCAGAGAAAGAGAGAGAGAGAGAGAGAGAACGTAGCTATAAATGTAATATATTATAAAACTTTATATGTAATACATCACATTGTTAAGAACAACTTTATATCGGAATTTCTTGTAGTTGATATTTTCATCCGTTTTTATGAACAAGGAAATTCCTTCTTTTGGGATATACGATATTTACGACAAGCTTCCGGACAGTGGCGTTCCAAGTAACGTCTTTGCGAGAAAGCTTTAAAGCATACACCACAGCGCCACTGCCATTGATGATGATTACGTGTCCTTTGATGAGCGCGCAGATTAGAACTGTAAAATATACATAATGATTAATTAGTTATACGATAATGGTATCTCTCAATAATTATTATAAGATTTTAATTATTATGAGAATAGTACCGATCAAATAGGATAAAGTTAAATATACAGAGAATATCCCGAAATTATTATTTTTACTTTGTATTTGTATTAAAAATTCTCCAAATACTTTGGAGCAAAATTTTGTGAGGCTAAATTTTCAATAAAGAAAAATTGAGATTTTTTTCTATCCAAGTTTTTGTATGAAACTAAATAAGTTTGCGAATGTGTGCTATACTTCTAACAGTACATCCAAATACACTCATCATCAATTCAAGACTTCTAATAAATTTAATAAATATTATTCTAAATATTATTCTCGCCTCCCTTTTTACGTACCGATCTGCAAAAGATTTATGGCAAACGGGACATTCGAAGGGCCTCTCGCCTGTGTGAAGACGCAAATGGCCCTTCAACACCCACGGTCGATCAAAGCTCTTGCGGCAATACGGGCAATAGTGCATTGTTTTATTTCTCTTCCAGGGTTGAGCGTTCTCTTTAACAGGCGTCTTATTCTCGACGGAGTTCATCGGTTCGTGTTTTTGCTTCGGCATCAGATATAAAGCCTGCGAGAGCGTTTGCGTTTCGGAGCCGTTGATCATGACTTTCTGATTTATCGTCTCGTTGAGCTTCCCTGGATCCGTTACCTGCGTTGCTCTTAACGATTCTTTCGCGTTAGAGGAGGATTGAGATGCATCGTCGAGCAATATCGCGGACACCTTCCCCGAATCGATCGTGTTTACGACGTCGATTGACGGAGAATCCTGGCGAATATTTGTAAAATTTCGACCCGTTGTATTCAAGCCGGTGTCAAACGTAGCATTATTGACTTTATGGAAGCTGTATCGAGTTACAATGGGAAGTCCTGAACAAGTCCAAATATTGCTCGTCTTCGACGTTGCGTCTTTTGTATGATTCTTTCGCTTGAGATCCGTGGATGGCGGCAACCATGAGAATTCGGTTTCTGTAAAAATCGATTTTCCGTCACGTGCGAAAAAACATAGGCAGGATATTTATTACCAGAGAATAGTTTTCAGTCTTAAAATATGCAGTAAATCTTTATTTACAACATATTTTAAAGATGTATCATCAATTTTGAACTCAAAGGAAAATAATTTTGCGAAATATAAACTAATTAAATAGAGTTGTTATAAAAATTTATTCTACATAAAATTCTTCATCATCGAAATAAATTTCAAAGTTTCACAGTTCATTTTTTGTATCTCTAAGCAGGAAGAATTATTTTTTTCTCTTTAATAATAAGCAATTAAAAAATTAATTGTGTCTATTATCACACATACAGCATTTACATAATGCTACAGCATTTATACAATTTGTGAAAAAAATAATTTTTGATTTGTTTTCTTTGATAATAAATTTCTGATTTATAGCACTTGGAAATATCACGCGAAAATAGGAGACAAATGGCATGATCAGTCGAGGAGTGTCTGTTATTGTAACGACAGTCAAGGTTGAAGTAACGATCGCACAGACATTTGTATTATTTCAATAATTTTAAAACTGGCATATCAGGACATTCATAACCGTAAATGATATTTTCCCTATCGTTCGTGCATGCATTAGGATCGGGCTAATCTTAATAGTATACTGGACGATGCCATAAAGAAGGAGATACTGTGAAGAAAAAGCAAAAATACCTTCGTTCGAACTGTCCGTTCTCTGATATCGCACCATCGACTTTATCAAACAACGTGGCATTTTTCTTGAAATAAAGAAATAGAACTGTCTATTATTTGCAAAGAATACAAAGAATGTTCAACTGCTGACCACCACAGCAGCAATATGGCAGTACCGTGTGTTTCACCGGCGTTTGTTTTCGCCAAGCAGTGGCGTATTATCCAATGATTGTTAGAGTGTGTACTTGATAAATAATTGGAATATTATTAAAATAGTAATTCTCTCTCTTTTTTCTTTACAAATTAATTTCCTCCTTTATACATTACTATTAACATATTATAATCTTTTTTTTTTATCTTTCTAATCCTATTTACGTCTACCTAACACTAAGACACATGTACACACAATTGAACCACATAATTTATATAATATACAATTGTATTGTATAAAAATTAATTAAATTATTATTTAAAATATACAAATTAATATAATATAATGTCAAACATTGTCTCTATCATTTCCATCGTTGTCGATATTCAGTAAATTTAAATTTATGATTTTTAAATGTTATAAAATTTTTATTATTCTGATTTTTATATATTTCTATATTTTCATATATCATCTCAATTTTAAGAAGAAATATCTAGTAGAATTTGTACATTAAGGATATCTTATTATGTTGAATCTGTTTACATGAGATTTTCACAACTTTCCTATACTGGTCGATGACGACCTTTAGTGTCTTGATAACATTCATAGGGAAAACAAGGGTCTGAAGGAACCTCGAATTGGAAGCGAAGATCTCAGAAACGATTCGTACAGCGTCGCAGTCGGATCATAACGTCTCGTCTTTCTCATAAATATAAAAAATACGAACATTACATGTGTACATAAGAAGTTTCATTTATTGCAGTGAGTTTTTTCATAATACATTTTTTATCATATTGAATTTATATAATGCACACATCTTTTTTTCTCCAAATATAAATATTTCAATTTATAATTAATTAAGTGCAACAACTTTTATGTGTGATTTAACTACATGTATTTTATACATTTTATATATTTGTATTTTATACAATATTTTAATTAATTTAATTATATGTAAAAGATATATTATGATATTTTAATACTTAAATAATATATAATGTAATATATTAAAATATTTTGTAATATAATATAGAAAAATTACTCTCTATTACATATAACAAAATGCAACACTCATTAAAATTTTCAATACATAATATTACATATAGATAAATACACACATATATAATATAAATCTTACATACACACACACATACATACATATTCCATATTATAGTATTTCAATATATAATAAAGTGTATTTAAAAGTAATTAAAATTTAATTAAGCCAATATAATTTAAATCAAATTATTTGCTGATGTTTCACTTACATTTTATATTCGCGAAAAGTAAAATATTATATCGAAAACATTGTAGGATGTACATATTGTTATCACATTGCGATATTTACGATATTCTTGAATTTCTATCTAACAAGCGAGTTGTGTATTATTTACAACAGCTGCTTATATTTTGATTCTACTTTTATTTAGAAGATTTAATATACGCATATTTAAATAACTTAGTGAAATAATAGTTGGAAGAATCCAATTTGTTTCATCGCAAAAAACTTTAACGCTTTCTTTTGCAGATGATGCCACGTATTGTGGGCCTGCTGTTTATATACAGCTCCTTGAATTTTTGTTGTTATGGCAATCTTGGTAGGTTAATATAAAAAACAAGACTATCGTATAGTATGTCGATGTTCTAAAATAAATTTGCAGTTGATTAAATCAAATTATTTTCTTGCATTTTTTCAATTAATTATGAGATTAAGTTTTTCTTAATAATGTACAGTTTTCCTTGACAAAATTCTAAGATGCGAGAAACCTGATTGGTTTCGATGTGATAATGACCAATGCGTATTATTCACATTTGAATGTGATGGAGAGGAAGATTGTACCGATGGATCGGATGAAGATCACTGCGAAAACTTTAATGTGAGTATTAGTATACAACTCATACAAATTTTCTATTTTTTATCAATTGTCTTCCAATTCTTATCTATCTTGAATTTGTGAAAACTTTTTTTAAGCTATCTTGGGTAGACCACTTTTATCTTTTACTTGCAATTATATTATATATCTATTTTAATACATATTGCAATCTCTTATCGTAAAATTTGAAACAGTTCCAAAAGCCCTTATTTTTTTATCTGCAGACCATATATTCGATATTTATCTGATCATACTTTCTATCCAAAAATGTAGTAAGATCTATTCTTTTCAAATCTTTTGCAATAATAACTATTTATTTTGAAAAATATGTTGTAATTTTCTCTTTTATCCATTTCTCTCAATAGGAAGCTCAATTCTCGTTATCATTAAGACAACAGCTTTGTTTGTTGCAAAGCTTACATTTGCAACATTTATAAAATTTGCCTAAATTATAAGCCTAAATAAAATTTAGTAATAAAAAAAGAATGATATATCTTATTCTCTATATTTTCATTAATCTAATGTCATGTCATGTATGTCATATAAATAAGTAAATACATAGACATAGCATCAAATAAAAAAGTTTTTGTGTACTTCCAGCTTACATATCCTCATGACATAATATGCGCCACAAATGAATTTAAATGCCAAAGTAAACATTGTATACCAAAAGAAAAGTTCTGCGATGCAGTGAAGGATTGCAGTGATGGAAGCGACGAGTATTACGATTGCGTGAATGAGGTGAATAAATCGGCATCATTTTTTTGTTCGTTATCATGTAGCACTTATCCATCTGTCATATTTATTTTGCAAAATGTATTTGTAATTACGATGTATTTGTAATTTTATTTTCATCGCAACAGTTAAAGTGCGACGACAAATTTCGGTGCAAGGATAAACATTGTATAAGAAAAGATTGGGTTTGTGACGGTAGATACGATTGTCCCGATGGCAGCGATGAATCGAATTGCGGTAAGTTTGTAAAAATGTAAATTATTAATGATAATAAAAACAAAAAAATTATATCTTGCTAATCCAAAAAAAAATTTTTTTAATGCTGCATTTTTTAGACAATAAAACACTATCTGCAAGTGATTGTAAAAGTGCACATAATCGATACTTATGCAAAAATCAACGATGCATATTTTTTAATGCAGTGTGCAACGGAAAAGATGATTGTGGCGATGGATCAGATGAAGGTGCCGGTTGTAAGTATGATATATTAGTATTAATATGATATATTTTTAATTATTATCTTATAGCTTTCTAATACTTGTAATATCTTTTAACACGTGATGTAATCTATATGCACAGTTTGTTATAAAATTTTATATTAATTAACTTTCTTCTTTTCTTTCAGGTAAATCATCTAGTTGCGCATCGGCAAAATGCAGTGACGATTGCAAAATAACACCTAGTGGCCCTGTATGTATCTGCAAGCCGGGTTACGAGATTCAAGATCGCTCGTGCACAGGTAAATCCTTGATGAGCAAAAACAATAATCCTATGTGAATTATAGCGAGGATTATTTGACAATTTTTTTTATAGATATTGACGAGTGTCAGATTTATGGCAAATGCGATCAAGGATGCGTGAATACGGCAGGATCGTACAGATGTACCTGTGAAGCAGGTTACATACTGCAAGATGATAGGAAAACATGCAAAGCGGATGGTAAGCTAGTTTGCATATATGATTGATAGGACAAAAATATTGATTTATATTAAATTTTACAAAAATGTGAATTTTTCAACTGATAGGTGGCGAGGCTACGTTGCTATTCTCTACAAAAACGGAGATTCGCGCAATATATCTCGATTCTAGAATATATTTTACAGCTGCGAAAAACTTGAGTCATACTGAAAATATCGCTATAAACGGGGATTATTTCTATTGTTCAAACGTTATTGAAGACAGTATCCACACGATTGTAAAAGGTGTTATCGATGGAAAACACGAAGCCATTGTTACGGAAGGTGAGCGCTTTATTAATGGTATTATAAATAATTATAGTCTTTGCAAAGAACTCGCAGAAATACATTTTTAATATCTATATATTATTTCAAAAAACGTTAATTTTTTTGGCAGAATAAAATAAAAGATACGAATATTCTATTTGTTAACTCACAAGTTGTACAAGATATTTGATAACTAACAGATTATTGATAACTACACACATATACAAACAATTTATTATTTATTATACAATATTATTGTTGAAATATGTGTGTGTGCGGATTAAGAATATAATAATAACATGTAAAGTAATATGATAACATTAAAATAAGGAGAAAAATATAGATAGAATAAATATCGTTTTTTATAGACTAATTATTTTACCTGGTATCTTTTTATCGTATGTTCTAAATTTTACGTATTTTTCTCGTAAATAAGGTTTGTATTCGCTATCGGGGATAGCCGTAGATTGGATTACGGGTAATGTATATTTCACCGACGAAGGTAACAAGTATATCGGGGTTTGCGATAGTAACGGTACATATTGTACCATATTGATTAATAATCAACATAAACCAAATGGAATCGCTCTGTTACCGACTAAAGGGTAAATATATTTATCATAAACAAATTATATATTTAAATTCTTTTCTATTGTATAAATAATAAACTGTATTATTTACATATATATATATATATAAATTAATACGAAAATATTAAGCGCGTGTGTATTTACGTGTTTCTATATTTATAGAATAATGTTTTGGTGCGATGTGGGTTTCATCTCGCATATTGCAATGGCTGGGATGGATGGCAAAAACAGTAGCTTATTTATCACTCAAAACTTAGAATGGCCTACCAGTATAACTATTGACTATCCGAATAATCGATTATATTGGTTAGATAAAAAGAAAAATATAATCGAATCAGTACGCTTAGACGGCACCGACCGAAGAGTTAGCGTTTATATTTCTCTTTCTTATTATATATGATATTTTTTATGCTACAATTAAGACTATAACAAAAAAATATTTGTACTTAAATTATCCGCAGATCGTATTGCACGATATAATCAGATATCCAGTTTCCTTGGCGGTTTTTGAAAATAAACTATACTGGAGCGACTGGCAGGAAAATACGATACAATCCTGTGATAAGTTTACCGGAAAGAATTGGCAGATCGTAATTCGAACTGACGATACACCTTATGGCGTACACGTAGAACATATGGGGAAAAAACCCAAGGTATGCAAAGTTTTATTTTTACTGTTACTTTTGTATTGCAACAAAATCGGCGTCGCAAAGTCTACACTATTATTCAATTTAATTTCAGATTTCAAACCCATGTCACTCTAATCCATGTTCTCAATTATGTATGTTAAATCGGGATAAAGGCTATACATGCGGCTGCACCATAGATAAAGAATTGAAAGCTGACCATCATACGTGTCGAGGTAGATTATCAAAAAATGTGTACTTTTTTTCAATTATATATATATATATATATTAATGTTATGAATCCTTACTATATTACTAGGTTTTATATTTCCAAATTAACATAAGTACAATTTCAGAGGTAAAGAAGAAGCAGCACTTTATTATCATCACGGAAAATATATTTATAGATTATTTTCACGATTTTTTGGGAAAGTCAAAAGTGACTACGAGCACTACTGCAAGAATTATAACTGCAGCAACTTATGATTCGCTTACTGGTAACTTATAAGATTCTTATGACAGAAAATTGCGAAGAATATTACAAATGTTTTGCCCCTTTTATATTAATTCTTTTTCTTACAATTAAAACTTATTTAGACACTATACTTGCAAGTGATAAGCGTTCGAATCATATCATTCGTTACGATCCGAAAAGCGGCGTTAGCGAGAATCTTATACCATTCGAGAATAAAATATTGGGAGGAATGGCGTTTGATTATATCGGTAATAACTTGTATTTATCGAATAAAGAAGACAGAACTATCGAAGTATATAGCTTAACAACCAAGACGAAGACGGTCTTTTATGTTGAGGATCGACCTGGCGATATTGCTTTAGCGCCTGAAGAAGGGTATGACGTTTCATTAATTGTACTTACAATTAGGGTGATTATCAGCGTTTTAATAATATAATGACAATGTTAATATATAATATAATGTTTTTTATATTATAGTACAATGTTCATCGTATTCGATGAAGTAGAACTCTTTCTTGGAATACCGTCATATCATAACTTTCGCTTAGAGGAAATGAAAATGAATGGAATCGGCTCGAGAAAACTAATAAACTCGCACTTGGGAGATGCAACGATATCGTTGCATTATGACAGGGATAAAAAGACATTTTTCTCGATTGATCAAAGTTTTGGTTATATCACATCGTACCAGGATGAAAGTTAGTATTTTAGCACTTTTCATAAACATTTAAGTTCTGAGCCTTGTTTCTTAAATTTTGTGTATAAATATACATATATTTTATTAAAACATTTTGATAGATTATATTTTATATTCTAAAAATATTATTGTATATTTGTGTATAATATTTAATTATGAAAGAACAAGTTTTTCCAAGTATTGTAAGGAAATGACAAGTATTATATTTGTAGATCAATATCTTCTTCGTACCGGATTATCAGAGCCTATGAGTTTTGCAATCGCTGGAGACAATATATTCTGGACGCAACGCAATTCTAATTTATTATATTGGACAAGTTATAAAAATAATGGTCGCTATCATCACCAGGTTATGCTCCGTAAGTTATTTAATGTCTTAGCATTAGAGAATATGCATCTGTATATATAGAATAATTAATCAGCAAAATAAATAAATATTTGCAGGTATGCCCTTACGTGTAGAAACTCCACTTGTGATAGGTTTGCACGATATTGTTACCCATGAGAAGCACGGTTGTGAGAAAAATAATGGAAATTGCTCACACGTGTGTTTGCCTTCCTCCGGTATTTCATTTGTAAGTGTACAAACTTTAGATGATATGGTCATGTGGCAAATAAATTCAACGATTGCAATGCAAGCATCTTATATACAATTAAAACATTGCTATTTTGATATATCACTTCATCCATCTGATGCGATGTTATTTGTCAAAGAAAATAGAATTTTCTATAATATTTTACGCGATTATTTTCAGATTTGTGCTTGTCCTCCTGGAATGATGCTAAGCGCGAACAATCGTACATGCACTTTGCAGTCTGCGTGTCTTGCTGATGAGGTCAAATGCAGCGAACATGATATCTGCATAAAGCGGCAGCAGTGGTGCGTTTAACAGATATTTCTGCATGTATAGTTTATAAGTACATTGATATATTAAGTTATACAGATTATCCAAATATTTGCATTTTCTGATACAATTAATTGGTATTAACCGTTTGTGACATACTGATAAGTTATTCGCGGAGTCATAAAAATATACTATCTTGTATCTCAAATATTTTATCGAATTAAAATAAATTTTTAACAGATTCTTTTTTTAATAGACTATTTTTATAACCTGAATACTTTTTTATACAATTTTTACATTTTTTAAATTTCTTGCTGTTTATTCAGGTGCGACGGTACCATAGACTGTCCAAACAGTGAAGATGAAGCGAGCGACTGCGGCGAAACTGGTATTTGCGAAAAAGGTCAATTCATGTGTAAAGATGGCACGTGCATCAGTTCAAAAGATCGTTGCAATTCGAACTACGAATGCGCTGATAAATCGGACGAGGAGAATTGCGCTACGCCGCAATGCCGCAATGGTAATTAGGAATTTGATGACAAATTAATTATATTTGAATAAATTTGCGATCTTTTTCTTTGAATGCGTTGACTTTACTATAACTATACTTGTATTGTTATTTATTTTTGCTAATCCTCATCTTTTAGATGAATTTCAATGTCGTGACGGAGCTTGCATATCAAATTCCTTAGAGTGCGATGGGCACAACGATTGTCTCGATTTCTCCGATGAGATTAATAATCATTGCAAAGAGCGTACGTGTCCTCCGAGTAAATTTATGTGTAAAGATGCGAGAAATTGCATACCAAAGGAATGGGAATGCGACAGAGAGGTGGGTTACAATTATTCATATTTATTATATGTTTAGCGTGCACAATCAATATGGTAACTCGATTTATTTATAGTTTTTCATCTTATAAGAGGAATTTTAATGATTATTATTAATTTAAAATGTGATTATAAAAAATTATTGTGAGAGCAAAATGGAAAGAAACACATTTAAATGTCGAATTTTTTAAATCAGAATTAATTTTAAAGTTTATTGATTGGTTACTCTGTTCGCAATATACTAAATGTCATTTTATATAATCTCACGTGTTCATATTTAAGCGAGATTGCTCGGATGGATCAGATGAACATGAGGAATGCGTAAACATCTGTGACGACGGAAAATTAAAATGTAATAATGGTCGTTGCATATCATCTTCATTGAAATGCAATGGTATCAATGATTGCGGTGATGAGACTGACGAGAAACATTGTTTGAACAAAAAATCTCCTAATTGTACCGAGGATAAATATTTATGCTTCAACACTGATATATGTCTCCCAAAGACAGTAAGGTGAGTTGATTCCTTTAAAATATATTAGATGATTGCAAGAATTTACACGCAAATATTAAAATGCTAATATATTTGTCAACTCAAAAGACCATTTTCTTTTTTAAAAATATTTTAAATTTTAAGTAACAAACTTTGCTGTGCAGACTATCATAGCGACTTTTTTTGATTTTTATATAAGAGATTAAATAATGTGAAACATATTGTTCACGATTCTTCCTGTTGAAGATGCAACGGTGTTCAAGACTGCCCGAAGAACGATGACGAGCATCATTGTACGTACTGTTCCGAGGATGAATTTAGCTGCGACAATAAGAGATGCATTCCGCAGAACTGGGTATGTGATAAAACCGACGATTGCGGCGACAAATCAGACGAGAAGGATTGTAGTGGTAATAAGTGGAGAAACGTTAATGTCAACACATCGAACATATGTGAAGAATTTAAGTGCGACATGGGCACTTGTCTGTCGTTCAGCAAAGTATGCGACGGTATTCGAGATTGTCCAGATAACAGTGATGAAAATGGAAAATGCAGTATGTAGCTAATTTTTGTTGCGCTATTAAAACCATTCATTTTTATAAAAAATATTCTTGATAAACAATTTAGTAAAATATGTAGTGTTTTTATCTTTGAAGAATTTAAAATTTAAAAACTTAAGTAGCTTATATGAATTTTTTTTTATTTTAAAGATTTACGGAAGATATTTTACATTGACATTTAGAGAAAAAGAGAGAGAGAGAAATTCAGAAATTTAAAAGTTATTTCTTATATATTAATAAACGCGCACCATTTTTATAATACATTACTTTTTAATAATAATAATAAATTTAATAATAATAATTTAATAATTACTTTTTTGCGTAGCAAGCGCTTGTGCGTACAACAATGTCTGCAAGGATCTGTGTTATAAGACACCACGTGGGGGAGTCTGCGGTTGTCAAAAAGGATATCGTTTGGCTGCTGACATGATGTCATGTGATGATATGAATGAGTGCGATCTTGATGTTTGCTCGCAGATTTGTCGAAACATTCTGGGCTCCTTTCAGTGTTCATGCTACAATGGATATGTTATTCGCAGCGATAGGGTTTCTTGCAAAGCCATTGGTAAGTGATTGCAGTTAAATCTTTGCGCAAGTTATTTAAAGCAATGAATTATCAATGATGATTATTTCTAGGACCGCCAATGGAATTAATTACCGTTACCGATAATGACATCAGGAAAATATCGTCGAATTTATTCTCAATTGAAGCAATCCGTTCATTAACGGGTTTAAACGTAATTGGTTTTGACGTAAACGCACTTGATGATGCTATTTATTGGAGTAGTGGTTAGTCTTCATATCTAAATTTTACTTATTATAAAAAAATTATTAATTATATTAATATACGATGCATTTATTAAAAAGATATAAATATCCATAAAAGATTTTCAAAAGCAATTTAATACAAGATTAGAAGCATTTTTTTTAAACTTGTGTGTATGTGTGTATTGTTCGAATACATGTTAAAAAAAATTATTGCAGAAGAATTGAGCACTATTAACAAGATTAACATCAAAACAAACGAAATAAGCATATTTACGAATGTTGGAAATCCGGGAGTGCTTGCAATCGATTGGATCACTAATAACATCTATTTTAATGATAACGATCGTCCAAACATGATTAAGGTATATTTCTCTTCTTGATATCAAATAAATGGGAGTGCTTTGAACTGATTACTAATTTAATTTATTAATTAAAGGTATGCAGCGTGAAGCAACAAAAATGTGCAATTGTGGTTAAAATTGAAGGTGTGGCAAAAGTAGCATCCCTCATAATCGACCCAAAAAATAGGTATTTCTTTTTTACTCTGCTTGTTAGTTTCTTATTATCTTTGTTTAGCTTCACCACTTTTATTGATTTAATAGAAATTACAGAGAATAGTAGAATATATAAAATACCATATAATGACGTTATGATAATATAAAAAAATCGAAATCGCTTAATATTACAGATGGTTATTCTGGAGTCAAACTACGTGGCAAGTGCATGATAAACCGTTCAGTGAAATATGTCAAGCCGATATGATGGGTAACAATATGAAGATAATTGGTTTTCGGGATATAGGCGTCGTGAGTGGAATGGCGATCGATCATATGAAAGCCAGATTATATTGGTCGGATAGTTTCCGCAAAACTATCGAATCATCTAATTTGGATGGAACTCAACGCAGCACATTTTTAAAAACAGATGTACGTTAATGAGTATCATTATTTTTTAATCCATTCTATTAAAACAAGGGCATTTTCTGCATACATAAAAAAAACGCAACCACATCTTGTGTGTCAAAAATAGATATATCAAATAATTTTTTCTAACAAAATATTTTTTAATCTTATAGATGCACCAACCGTTAGGCGTCAACATTTTTGAAAATTCGCTTTATTGGTTAATGGGTTCAAATGGTCCAATGCAAAAATGTAAGCTGTACGCTGACAAATCGTGCGAAATAATAGATATAAGTCCGAACAATATTCACAAGCACTTTGCTATTCTACATGTTTCCAGACATCCTCTCGGTTAGTATATAATGTCTAAAAACGAACCATCAAATTTATTTTGATGGTCTGTTAAATTTTGTATATCGACATTTAATCGTAATAATCGCAAAACGAAATTATGTGTTTGTTTGACAGTTGAGAATCTTTGTGAAAAACTGAACTGCGACTATATGTGCGTTTTAAAAGCTAACGATGCGGCATGCATTTGTCAAGACGGTAAATCGATAGCATCTAATAGCACTTGCACGAAAGTACTTACGAATAATGAAATAAAAGTCGCTACAAGTCGCACCAACATCTCAAAAATGCGATATCAGGGTGGAATTTATACCATAACAATAATTACATTACTGATTATTTTTTCGTCATTGTGCATTTATTACTACTATCAAAAAAGCAAATTAAAGTTGAAAACATTGAATGATCTCAAGTACGTCTAAAATTTATTTGACCGAGTTTTGAACATTAAAATATACATTTTATATTACTCATATAAAAATTTTACAATAATATGGTACGATATATGATTATTTTCAGCAGCATTCGCTTTCATAATCCATCATATGATCGAAGAGATGAGGTTGCGGTAACACTTAGTTCTATAGCTCCAAATATATCTCCCGGACAGCATGAATATATTAATCCTATCGATGATAAGTTATTAAAGGTAAAAGTAGAACAAAACAAATATATTATATTTAAACATGACATTATTTTTTTTTCACTGTATCGTGCATGCTGCTACAAATATATTTAATTACAATATATGTTGTATACAACATTTCTACATATAATTCATGCAAACTATATGTACTATACAAAGTAACTATTAATTACAATTAACGATAACTTAAATAATTATTCAGATGAAATAAATTATTATAGACTTAAATATTCAATATTCTCTTATAGAGTGCGATGGAAAGTAGTATGAAGAGGTCAGAACGAAATTTGTGCGAATCGGAAAAAGAAGATGAAGAGAAACAAAATACATGTTTAATTTCTTTCACACGATCAAAATAATTTAATCCAAATCAAATAATATTTAAAAGTCAAAATTAAAGTTAAAGAATGTTGTTCATACGATAATAGAAGATTTCTTAATGATTGATATTATAAATATCAAGACACTATGTCAATAAACATGTCTAATATTATATATATAGCGATATATGTATATATTAGTAATATGTCTGCTATGTATCTCAAGCGTACTTAATCATTATATAGTATCAAATATGATTTGATATGGATATAACTTTAAATTCGTATGGCTTTTAGCCTAAATACTGCCATTCTGCATTTAGTAAATGCTCGGAAAAAATATTATATAAAGTATTGTGAAAATACATTTATATTTATAAACGTTAATTTTTACATATTTCATTTTAAGTATGCATTAAATTTAAACTTGATCATGCAATTATACAATTAAATCATAATTTTTAGATAGAGCTAAATGCTGTCAGAAAATTTGTACATACATTTATTTATATCAATATGTAAATTTTATACATTCATATATACCCATATATTATTTGCTTATATATGCCAGAAAATATACAATACTTTTATATAAATCTGTTTTTATTTCTTTTACTTTGTAATTTTACACGATTACTATTATAATTACTTTTACTGATTATTTTTATAATTTTATGTAAAATTTAACACAAAATTTTTATCTAACAAATGTAAACAATTAAAAAAAATGAATATATATCATATTATGTTAAACTATATA